GAAGCAAAGTGAATATATTTTAAGGATGCAGATTGCATCAAGCTACTGACTTGCAGCATTCACTCCTCCTAGGTGAACAGAGCAACCATCCATTGTCACTTGCACTGTGTCACTGACTTTTGTTTTACTGTGCATTTCATCAATAGTGCAAAGAATTGCAGCCGGATGTGTCGTGTCGTATCGGCCACTTGACTCGCTGCAAGACGCAGCAGCGATGATGGACCGTGTAAAGATGTAAACATGTCTTTGACTCGTAGTAAATATAAAAGACAAAACATGAGACAGATCAAAAATAGAAACATCAGAGGTGCTATGGGAGAACAACATGCTGGACTCAGCTGTGTCCGCCCTGCAAAGCTAATGATTTTTCTGGAAAGAGTCCATTTTTTTAATGAAAGTCCTGTTGCTTCCAGCTCACATCATAAACTGCAAGGCAAGTCAAACAATTAATTTACCGTCCAACTCTGTGTATGCAGCTTTGTTTTTAGGGACACATTAAAACAAAATATTACGCCTCTCTGCATTCTCATGTCACAATGGCTACACATTCATTCGGTTTAATTCAGACTGTTTTGTAATGTTTTGTGATAACATCATCACAATCAGATGCTGCAGACTCATTGATCCCGTGTCTCTTTGCTTTAGAGATGAGCTGATAATTTGATAAAAGCCTCTAGACAAAAACAAAAAGAAAAGAACACAGGCATGACATCTGTGAACCAGGAAGGGTGAAAATCACTACAAATCAAATAATGCATTTAGTATGTAACCTCAGCCCAGCTTTAATTGTACACACACCCAATCCACATTACATGAGATTAATATTATTTGTCTCCGACACTGACAGGCACTGGCACCTAGAAATGGGTCTTGTGTCACAGCTGGAAAGCCCTGCTACTCCCTCAGTCTGCTCAGACTTAATTTCCAAGTTCAGTTTAATGACTCATGGATGTAACATATGCTGCTAGTGCTTCAACAGCCCTAACTGCTTTGAATTTCTGGCTGGCAGCATTTAAATGAACACACGCCTAGTGGCTTTCTTTTACTGTTTTTCTCTCCAGTTTTTGTGAGACCATTTGGAGAATTGGACTTGTGCCAGCAGCACCTGCCACAGGGCTGATGCAGAGTTTGATGTAATTTGCTGATCTTTGCTACCGACTGGACCCTGCATGATTGTTGACAAGCCTGATCAAAATGTGTAAAAAAACAAAACAAAGAACAAACTTAAAATAAAGTGTGATGGAGAATTGGCGACCGGAAAATACAATCACGCAGTTTTCTGGAATAATCTACAACAGAGATATAAGGATGCTTTTCATACCCTGTCACCATCCTCGTCTCTACAAAGTGGCATGATAAAATCAGATCCTTGCCCAGCAATGTTTGTTACAGTTCCAGATGTTTTAAACTTTTTAGATATTGCTCTGCCTGCAGTCATGGCCATGTTTATGCAGCTTTCTGATTCATGACGACACATCAAGCGATATTTCCTACATCTTTCCTATTTTTAAAAGAGGGTTAGTAGAGATTAACAGAAATACAGCACATCTAGAAAATAGTCACAGGACTTAACTTTTTCCACATTTTCAAATTGTATTAAAGAGGCAATATTATTATTATTAGGCTATCACATTTTCTTCTGTCTCTTTAAGCTGTTTCCGACACTCCGCCTTCAGCACTTCATCACAACAATGTTCCTCCATTATGCTGTTTACAACCATTCTTAGGAGAATGGGTCATATGATAAGCTCAGCAGACTCGCATTACTAGACAAAATTTCTACACAAAAAATACCCCGCTATGACAACATGGAAAAAAGTCTGAAATCTTTGATAATTTACTAAAAATGGAAAACTAAGACGTGACATTTATGCAAGTATCCTTCTGTAAAATGAACCGTTGAAGAGCAGTCTGGAGCACGTTTTCATAAAGGATGCTGCATCCGTCTGTCCGCTCAATCCTGACTAACCTGCAAGTTCCTGATGCCGCAAAATATCCCTTTTGCATAAAACGCAAAAATACCTTAGACAGGGATTTGAACCTAGGACCTTCTGACGCCAAAGGAACAGTGCTACCAACCTGGCAGCACCAATCCTAAAAACATGCTTTTCCTTTCCTAGATACAAAACCACCAAACTAAGAACTCCAACTGTAGTCTGTCACTGAATGCATAAACCAACAATATTCATTTTGATCTCGATATTCTGAGTTAAATAAATTTTAAGGACATATTATCTGATGCTTTAAGAGGGACAACTTTCAATTGTCTTACTTGGCTTCAAAACGACTACCTCTATCGAAAACCTGCAGCAGTAGTGCAGATTTTTTTTTCATCACACTACTTTTTCACTTTTTTCACACATGCAAAACACAAAGGTCAAAGTAGATTAAGAGGTTTTCTGTTGTTCTTGTCTGTTTGAGAATAATATCTTCCTATAGTCAAACTGCCAGATTGATTCAGCCTGATTACTGTAATTAGAGGCACAATAATGTCAACTCTAAACACAGCTATTCAATAAAATGCTTCCGAGAGGATGTCGTCATTTAGATCCTCCTGGGATGAATGCCGCAAATGCATTCGCACACAAGCCTCTACAAATGCGAGAATACATCAGTCTCTTATCTCTTTGCATTCTTTGCTGGTGAAGAATCAACACCGGGTGCGTGGACGCTTCGTTTCCAGAAGCGGAGGTTGAAACTCAGGATCCCAAATGGATTCTCCTCTCAAGGAGCATCAAATACTAAGCAAACAAAGGTCAACAAGGGCATGTAGGTCAACTTACATGCAACTATCACTGTGACACTACAGGGAAAACAGCTAACAACGACTAACTCTCTTGGGATGTCAGAGTATCCCAACCCAAATTTCACTTTGCTGTGTTATTTGCAGACAATAAGCAACAATTTGTCCCAAGTGTGTGCTGATGAACTGGTCATTCGAAGCCCACAAGGAAGACATTTTCTCTTGGGTGCCTGAAAACATTGAATACATTCAATGACACATTTTTAGAACTCTGACCCTAAAATGAAACCTTAAAGACCAGGGAATCATTAGGACTTTACGTATTGCCTTCAGGGAGTCATGGACACCCAGAGGAAATACAAACGACGAGCCTGTCAATTATTTTTTGAACCCAATTATTGACAAATTTCTTAATCATTGTCCACTTTCACACTGATTACGACGCATTTGTCACGTAGCAGAGCGGGGTCGAGACAATTTCAGCAGCAGCCCATTGGGTGTCATAACAGGACATTTCTACAAACTGCACAAGCTCCTTTTCAAGCAAAATATTCAGGGAGAGTAAGCAAACCTGCAGAAAAACACAAACAAGTTTTAATGTCATAGTGCATCAGACTGCCCTGCAATCAAGCTAATTTTATTTGAAAACTCAAAACAGGTGCAGCAATTGGCTCAAGGGCAAACGCTGATTTCCCCCACCCCTCCTGCCAGGTAGCTGAGGTCTGCCGTTAAATGGCAGTGAGAGGTGGATGTGCACGGTTGTAATGCCTTCTGACTCACTGTGGTCACTGTCCTCTCTGCAGCTTCAGTCTACATCTGTCATGATGTATTACAGCAATTATATTGGACAGGGCGGAGAACAGCTATCTGGTCCATGGTCAAGCATCTCTACAGGCCTCTTGATCCACAAATCGCCCACTTGCAATCTACTGTCACATGAGCCTAAATGTGAAACGCAAATTAAAGCAGGAAAAGTTCTCATTCATCCTCCGCTTCCTCATCACCTCCCCTGCATTTGGCGTACGTCATCTCCTCTCTCGTCTCGTGTCCCACTCTCTCTGCAATTAGCCTCCCCGAACCTCCGTCTCTTTAGGCGCAGCTTATGATAAGATGCGGCATCCTGTACCTGCGGTGAAAAAGGTTCGAAGGGGAGCACAGAGGGTGCCAGCTAGAGGTGAAGCTCTGGCTTCAGCAGGAAAAGACATAGGGGGGTGTCACTGCAATAAACAGCTAGAAACTTCCACCACACCACAGGACAGGAAGCTCATAAACACACACACACACACACACACACACACACACACACACACACACACACAGACAGGCTATTTAATATTCAGCACATGGGAAGAACATGGGAGTGAGTGCGCACACATACTCATCAATGCTTCACAGTAAAATAGTTGAGGTGACACAAGAAGATGCTGAATGTTTTTAGTAGTTTATTGTTCAGTTTTATGTTGGTGGAGATAAAATATATTTTCCATGGATATAAATGTGAAAATTTAGGTTTCAATCTGTTGTTCTCTGAAAGGTTATTTCAAAACATTTGAGTCTCATCAAGGCTAGGGTTGGATGATACAGCTGAAAGAAGTATCACAATATAAACATTTCATACTGATTAGTTTTTTGTTTTATATATCCGAATTACTGTCAAACTGATGACAGTCTGGAATAGGAAGTGTTTGCTTGATGACAGTATGTGACCAGAACAATGCATTAAAAACTTTAGCAAGTTGAAAAGTGTGAGTTTCTCTTGTTTTGGTCTATAAATTTTCTAGTTATAGATTTTAGAAGGTGGTTAATATTTTCTTGAGCGATTTTTTCATACATGAGAATCTGTGATTCACCTTGCATTTTTAGAGCAAGCCTAACTTTGCTTATATACTTAAACTGAAATGACCATGTTCAAAGTTTCATTTGCAAGATAATTGCACAAAACTAACGATATAAAACTGCTCTAATCTTGTTAATTCAACAGCAGAAATTAGGTTTTCCAAAAACAAAACAAAACAAAAAAAAACAGAACATTATGGGCCTAATTGCTTTTTATGTTATAAAAATTCACTCTGTGATGTAAACTTTGACTCCTGAACTTCTAGCAGCAGCTGATGAAACAGAAATATCAGATATACCTGTATTTGTCATAGTGAAGCTACATAGTAAAGTATGTAAAATGTAACTCTGCAACTCTTGAATTACAAATTTGAAGTTATAATTTAAGAAATCACAATTAAGTAAGAAACGTCATACTCACTCCCACTCTTTGCGTCGAGCCTGCGGTGTGCTATGTATCTTATGGGCCTGGTGAGCTTTGACTATGTCCTTCTGTTCAATCAGGCCTCCCCGCCGTCTCTTGATTACGTTGGGACTGACTGCCAAATCTCCATCCACCCCAAGCATCCCACCTCCGGCGTCAAATGTTGAGGCCACATCCAGAGAAAGGCCGAGGCGGTTCGGGTGGAGAGTTTGAGCCTGCCCAGTCATCTGCGGGAGGTAGAGGGTGTCGTGGCTGGTGGACAGACTCTGGGGCTCCAGGAGCGGGTGAGGCTCGGAGCAGGGGCTTGAACCTCCAGCCAGCCCTCCCCGATGCTTCTGCCAGCTCTCGCAATCCGTTGGTGACGGGTGCAGGACGTGACGCCTGGGGCTACTGCTGCCACACATCTGTCCAAAACCAGCTGCTGGACTGTCAGGCCCTCCTGAGGTGGGAGGTCGCCCCAAAGCATTGTGGTCGTCTGTCAGAGACTGAGAGCTGACAGAACATGAGCCCAGTTCCAGCATGATGGTAAGGCTGCCCGGGATCTTAGCATAGTGCTGCAGGAAGGAAAATGAGCAGAGATCAGACGGACTTAAAGTTTCATCATAATATTTTGTGGTACTACTTGGGTAACAATAAAAGTGACGATAAAAACTATGTATTACTCCTTTTCTAGGTAATTGTATGCATGAAACAGCAATTATAGCTTCACTAACTGCTCTTAAAAATCATTCCCATATGTTTCTTTAGGACGCCAGTCATATGAAGAAGTGTAACATACTATGAAAGTAAAGACAAATTTTCAAATTCATTGATATTTATTGATACTCTCATTGAGCAAACAGTGGAAGAAAACAGCAAAACTAACAATATGGACAGCTCTGAGATTTTTAAACATTATCTGGGACAATAAAACAATAAAACAAAATTCATATCATGTTAAGAGATTTATCATGATGAACAATATGATAAATAGGAAGCAGCACATGAAGCACTGACAGACTAAGAGTGATGCATCATTCCTAATCCCAAGTGGCATTCAGACTCAGTCAAAAACAATTTGCCTTAATAAAACCTAGAAACTACAACGTGATTATTAATATTGGTTACGCAGATAATTTAATAACACATGTTCACTCCATTTTGACACCACAAATAAAACAAAACACCACCTCATACTTTTTTCCTAGAATATTTGCATGGTACTGCTCTGTATGCTGTCTCATCTTTGTTAGGCTCTCTAAGAGCCTTCGCCTCGCTGTTATAAATTTACACATGAAACACACACACGCACACACACGCACACACACACACACACACACACACACACACACACACACACACACACACACACACACACACACTCTTGCCTTAAGGAGACTGCAGTAATTGAACAGGGCAACAATCAAATCATCAATAACATGGTTGGCAAATCATGTTATTGATGAGCCTGAATCGCAGCTGCCTTCCACTACTGACAAAACTACCATGATCTGTTCAAGCTTTCTTTTTCTTAAAAAACCCGGTTTAATTTGAATCGTAGATGCTACTTGTTAATTTCCTTAAAATGTGTTTACAATTAACTAATGTGTGCAATTTCAATGTTAGTATCTTGTATATAAGCAGACATAATGAACTGTGGTGGGGAATACTGCTCATCACAGCCAAAAAAAAAAAAACACAAAATCCTACCAAATCTCCCTATACTCGAAAAAGTACAAAACTAACTTAAAATTAATGTTCTAGCAAGGCATTTAAGTACTAGTTTAACTGAAAGACTGTTTTCCCTTGTAAAAAAAATATAAAATATTGTCACTCATTTCAGGAAGTGAATCTCATATAAATTCATTACATGTAGAGTGAAATATTTCAGGCCTTTATTTGTTGGTTTTACGATAACGGCTGAAATATTTTTCTCAATAAATCATATTACAATTGACCACTGAAAAAAGGATATTCTAGACAGACATGTCTATGTTCATTTCTATATGAATCACTGCATCAATGCAGCATGGCACGGAGGTGAACGGCATCGAGGTGCAATGGAAACCCAGGTTGCTTTGATAGCTGCCTTCCAGTCATTCACAGAACATCCTAACATCTTGATCTTGGTTTTATCAGCTTGTTTTAATTAATGCTCTCCCCCAGTCAGTCTGTCAGCTTAGGTAGAACGGAAATATTTGTGCTGTCCTCTCTCTGTTTTCAGAGGATTTCTTGAACTAAACAATGTTCTGTGAAATGTTCAAAGCTTTGCAAATACATTCTGATCCATTTTCCTACAACTTTATCCCTGACCTGCCTGGAATGTTCCTCGAGCTTCATGACGCTGGTTTTCCACTGTTGCTCTATAATCTCTGAGACCTTCACAGAACAGTTTTCAATTTCATTCTGCCATGCACAAACTCGAAGTACATCTGCATTTATGATGTGACGAGTCGTTGAAAAGAAATTCAAAGACAGCCAACATTCATGAATGTATCTGTGCTGAAAATAAGGTAACAGCAAACATCGGTAACAGATATTTTTTTAAGATATGTATTTTTTGATGAATTGTCAAACGCATGCGTTAACTTTGTGTAATATGCATAGAATATGTGCAGTGAGTGAACTGCATAAATGGCTGATTAGTACAAAGTGTGAAGACCTGAGATCCGCTCTGCAGCCAGAAATTTGATCTGCAAACCCATTCTTGCAGCATGCCAGTGTTGTTCTCTCTCACTGGCCTCAGACTGTTCAAAATATCCCAAGTCCTCTGAGCATCAAAACCAATTATATAAGCTGTAACCCAGCCCCTCAACACAAATAATCACATAACACTGCCAGAGCTGTGCTTAATTATGCAGTTAGGAAGAAGAAAAACTAACACTGACATCTTATTTAATTATCTTTATGTCTCCCTTATCGGATCGGAGAATTAGTGACGACTTATTTGGTTTTGGGGATGTGTTAAGCAAGCGATAGAACTGAGAGATTTGATTTCCAAATGTGCCGCAGAACGGTGCATACGACTGCTCCTCCTGAAGTCCATTTCAGTTACCTGAATGATGGATTTCTGGTTTTACGGCCCCTCGGAGAGGAAAGCTCCTAAATAACGTCAGAGCAAAGATAGCAAGCTGTGAAAATAAAATGCTGCAGATCACAAAGCTGTAAGGTGGGGAAGCTGGAGTTAGGTCACTCAGTTGTCTTGCATATACCCAAAAGTCCATCAGAAGCCTTCAAGTCACTACATTTTTGGTTGTTAATAAATGAATGTGCGCCTATGAATGGAGCACTAATGACTAGGGATTTTCTACACCTCATGCTAAAGATGAGAACTTTAATTTTACATTATTGTGTTCCTCACCCCCACTAAGACGTTTATCAAATAAAACAGGCATGGACAAAGTATCTGACTTAATGTTATTTACTCTCTCAGAGGCAGAGCGAAAGCTTTTACATGATATTCTCTTCTATTATGTAAAGACAGAAAATTACTCCGTTCTCTTTTTATAAGCAGCCACAGGTAAGAAGCATAAAAAGACTTGACTTGAGTTACATTTTCCTGACAAATATAATCAATGTGCTTGATGCCACAAACACATCATTTAGTATCCAATCAAACACTGCATCCAAACAGCACTTTGTGGTCGCAGTGTTGCACTTACTGCTCTTATAAGGGTGACAATTCAATATATTTGGCAGCACTATTTTCAACATTTTCATATTTTTTTTTCCATTTAAAGTTCCAACAAAGTTTTCTCAACAACATATGTTTAAATTTCTGATAAAGGGACAAAAAGGGCTTTTCCTATCATGCCTCCCCAGAAAATGCTGACATGTAAACAGTGTTTAATGGTTGTTACATAGACTATGTGACCACAAGAAGCCACTCATTCCTGCAGTTTGCTGAGAATATACTTTTTCCATTGTGCTAATAGTTCATGGTAGCAAGATAACCCAAAGTCCTTGTCTGGCCTTGTTTGTCATAATTGTCTTAATTTGCTCTGACTGCTGCCAAGTTTAGTAGTGTAGCATCTCTTGATGTTGTGAATTTAAATACATTATTGAAAATGAGCCTGCAATTTAATTGAACTACTTGTAAAGATGATGCAGGACCATTAGATTAATCTGACTAAATTATCTTCTCATTCATCTTCTCATTCTGAAGTTGCTTAACAAAGGGATAAAGCCTATCATTGTTAGACTCACTACAGCAGCCACAGTTGGATCTTTATCTATAAAGTTATTCAATCGGAACATTATTAAACAACCAGTGTTTCATTAACACATCTTCTTTACCAAAAGAGTTGTAGGATGTAGGCGGGAACTGATCAGAAAACATAAATAGGATTACAGCAACACATGCATGAAAGGAATCTAAAATTGAAAGTTGTTTGGAAAAACTAATAAGAGATCAATCAAAATCAATTTTACACAACAACTTTCACTGTTTGTCTGAGACAAATTGCTATGTTTTTCTGACTGTGAAATTAAACAGGCTTAAATTGCAAATATTTAATGAAAAGATTTCAGCAAAAAGGAAAAAAAAAACAAAAAAAAGTAATTTTTCACGCCACTCTAAACATAAACCCCTCCATTCTTTCGCTTCTCTAAACAAAACTACAGTCCAGACTGAGACAATGAGAGCAAGGCCAAGCAAATATAAAAAAAAAACACAAAGAGCAAGTTTGCACAGGGAATCATATGTTGTGTGATTCCTGGTAGGGGGAGAAAAGAAAATGTCCAGGGAACTCTCATTGATCTGGTGTTTATCGAATCCATTTGCAAAATTATGTTTTCAAAGTGGCTGGACAGAAATGCCAACACAATTAGATGATCTCCAAATTCAGACAAATGGATCTGAGCATGATCCTCCCAGATTACAAAGCACACAACAAACCAGAGAAACTTTCATCAATAAAACAGAATAAAAGTTTGTGGCCAAACCTGGAAAGTGAGGAAATGTTTTTTTTTTTTTTTTTATGATCAGAGAAAAATAACAGTGTAAACAAAGAGGCCCAATCTAAAAAGTTAGAAATCTTAATCAATAATGGTTATGTTGACTTTAAATTACCATCTATATGCAATAACTAGTCAGTGTGTTTGGCTGTAATACGATTACATATAAAGACTGTTTGTCTGTACACATGGTACAGTTATTAATCCTACTGTGTGCTAAAGCAGATAATGATTTATGATCATCAGCTGGTATTTGTGAGGAAAAACACAAAGTTCACTTATGCAAAGGGCGTTTTTCCTCTTCTTAATGTTTTTCACAGCTGTACTTAAGAGCCTCACAAAAATAGTCACAGCCTTTGAACTATCCCCAGATAGCACAGAATAATTGAAACAACATTGAATCAATGT